TTTTATTAAATAAACAATTTAAGTTTATTAAATGAAATTAAAATCGGGGAATTGAAAAAAATATAAATACAAGAAATTTTAAGGGGGGGGGGGTGATGAAGTAAAATAATTTTTTTAATTGCTGATTGGCTGAGGGAAATGACACATGTAATAAAAGGTAAACAATTTTAAAATTTAGAGTGTTTACATAGTAAAAATTATAAGAGGAGAGAGTAAGTTAGGCTTAGAATGGAATTTTTTATTCGTGACAATCGGACGATTCGAATATTCGAATTTTAATATTTTTTACGAAGTTTGAATTCGAAATCAGCCTCAGCCAACATCTAATTATAGTCTAACAAATCCAAATAAAGAATATACTTTCCGTAGCACAACAAATTAAAACTTTTTTGCTTGAGAGCCGTAAAGCCTATTAATTCAAGCCATAATTAAATAAAAGGATAAGCCTCAAAATAAGAAACAAAAACTTCAAAATACGCTTTTCATAACAAGGGAAAGTTTTTTGGATTTCAGAAAGCCAAAAAACAAGAATTCCTCCTTCTAGCGTCACAAAATCAAATGTTTAAAAAATTCTAACTATAAATAACACCAAGAAAGTCTAAACGAAAATCGAAAGTAATAATCCTTCAAAATCGAAATTTCGAAACTGCGCTTAAGAAGGAATGATAGGATAGTAGGCAATATTATATAGGAGAGAGGGCATGAGAGATGAGAGATGCCAAGTGAGGAGAGGAGATGGGAATGCAAAGAGGCCTTGGCTTACCTTAATAAATTATTTCAAAATTTTTTATAGAGAAAAATAAAAGTTTATACATAATATAGAAAAGAATTAAACAAAACTTTCAGGAGACTTGTGTTTTTCCGTTAAATATTTAATTTTTTTAGAATACATGGCTGTCGAGATAATTTTTCTTCAGAAATTCACAATATTCGTTAACTAGCATTAATTATACATCATTTAGTTAATGCAATTTGATAAAAGTGCTGGTCAAAATATAGGAAAAACAATAAATTATCAAAATAATCACATATGAAACTCGTAAACATCGTCCGATTCTAATCCAGATGCTCAAGAGAGCTCAGGATATTCATATTCTCAAGATATTGAAGATTAAATAATATAATAAATATTTCTAAATAAAGCAGTTTGTTGAATTATACACTTTTTTGAATTTCATTGTAAGATGAGAGCAAAAATACAGGATAAAAGTCTTATGCATAAAGCTCTAAATTAGGTAGTGCGAAACTTGCGGACCGACTTTTGCGGACCATAAAATTAGGTTTTTGTTTTTCTATCGTAACTTTGTCCAAGCTTGTCCAAGTTTGATGTCATTCGACTCAGCTCGTCGAGCTCTTTCGAATGAGCTATGTTTTGAGAAATTCGACCGCAAGTTTCGGTCCGCAAAAGTCGGTCCGCAACTTTCGGCCTGTCCTAAATTAGAATCATTAATCGACTTTAAATAAAAAAGTGCAATTTCATAATATTCACATGAAATTATTATGACCGGAAAATTAAATTTAGCTACAAATTTATTTGTCTATTTAAGTTAAAAATTTCGAAACATTTTGCTAAAAATTTAAATAATTTATTTAAATAATTTAAGTTTAATAATATAGGTAATAACAATGTTTCAATATTTCGTTATCTTGCTTCAGCTATTAAATTCTATATTGTGTAAATGTTTCAATATAGTGTTAAATTAAAAACTATAATCAATTTTTTAAATTCTCGAATTAAATTGTCTAGACTTAAGAATTCCCTAAATAGCTACATATGCACTTTCCAAAAAATTTAAAAGCAAATCCCGACATTTTAATTGCTTTGATGTCTACTATATAAAACACGTATAGATTTGCGTAAAAAAGTCGGTAATTCACCTTTGAAAATGTATTAAAGTGCAAATATGTATATACATTTATTTAACATAAAAAGCAGTAAACAAATAAATATTATTTATTATTATTATTTATTAAAATAAAAATGAAGTAATTTTAATATAAAGGAATAATTGTATGTACATTTCTGTTTCTGCTCTTCTCCATAAATTAATGTTAAAAATTCCCTTTAACCTAATATAAAGTTGTTACTGAGTACCTATAATTAATCTATACACTGCGTTCCAAAAGTATATGCACCCCTAGTTTTTTGATTTTTTATAAATTTTTCTTTGATATTTTGATTAGACTTTTTGTCTATCTATTCTTCTAGGTAAATGTGTATTTTTAAACAAAGAAATAAAAATTTTCCCCATCACGTTTCATTTTTATACACATTTATGCTTTTTATACACATTTTTATAAAAATGTGTATAAAAATGTATATTTTGTATATTTGTATATAAAATGTATATTTTCCGTTGATTTTCGAGTCTTTAGATCTCGATGATAGAATGATGTTAGAAGTTCGTTTCTTTTGTATTTTTTTATCTATATTGATAGATATCTTTAGAGAAATTTTTTTGGATTTTTTGATTGCTAAATAAAAATTTTATGAGGGGGTGCATATACTTTTGGAACAGTGATTTTTTGCATAAATGTGTATAAAAATGAAACGTGATGGGGAAAATTTTTATTTCTTTGTTTAAACATACACATTTACCTAGAAGAATAGATAGACAAAAAGTCTAATCAAAATATCAAAGAAAAATTTATAAAAAATCAAAAAACTAGGGGTGCATATACTTTTGGAACGCAGTGTATAATGGTTATGGGATTATAATGGGCATATTTCAAATTTTAAAGTGAGGAAATTTCAAATTATTTTGTGGCAATAGGCAGGTCAGTGAAGGAAACTCGACAAGACTGATTATTAATATAAACCACATACCTAACATTGTATACTAGGTGTTGATATACTAGGTGTTAAGGATTTCAGAAACCAAAGTTTTTGTGACAAAAATATTTTTTTGGAAAAATTTAATTTTTTAAAGATTTATTGCTTTTATTAATACAAATTAAATTTAATTTATTCTTTAATGTATACTATTTCAAATATTTTTTTTTCATTTTTCATAATTATTTTACTTTATTTACTTAAAATTATTGCTACGGACCCTTGCGAGAATCCCTGTGAGGACAATCATCTTAAAATGGAATGTAAAGGAAGTAAGTTATTTTGAACTCTTGTTTAATCCGAAATGTAATCAAAATTGAAATTCTTCTATCATTTATTTTCAATGGAAAATTTTTGGCACTAGGCTGAAGTAAGTTGGCAACAATTGATGATCGACATCGACAAATCTTTTGTGTTTTGACAAAAAATTTAACAACTATCCTCAATTTTCAAGACAAAAATTAAAATAAAAAATGATTTTAAATCTTAATTTTTTAATTTTTAATTTCTTAAACTTCTATTTACGGTGTTGCTACAAAATATTCTTAAATATAATTTTTATTATCAAATTTTGTTGCTATATAAAATTCGTCTGGAAAATAGTATCTAATAATTTAAATTTCAGTTTATGAGGATAACAAGCAATTAGCACAACACTATCATAAAATTTTCTTTAATGAAAACGATAATGAATTCATAAGAAATAATTTAGCTATTGATATAATTTTATGGCATCGAAATATTGAGAATATATTAACTATTAAATCAGAATGGAATAAAAACACTCAAAAATCGAGGATTTGGTGTCTAGAAATTTGGAATAAAATGCAAAATGAATTTGATAGGAATTTTTGTCAATTATTTGATAAGGATGTTAATATAGAACAATTGGAGTTTAAAAACGCAAATTTTCCGTATTTCTTTATACGCTTTGTTAGCTCGATTAAAGAATTAAAAGGTAAAGAATTGGTGGAAAGAAATAAAAAAGCGAAAGGAAGCTCCTTCAAGGATTATTTGGAGGTTAAGTTGTAATATTGTAAATACCGTATTTACTCGATTAATTCCCCCGAGGAATTATTTTTTCAACCCATGCGTGGCATGGGGAATTATTAGGGGGTGGGGAATTATTCGAGTTTTGAAATTTGAACGTGTATTAGGGTATTTGGGGGTGGGGAATTATTTTTTCAATTCACCCCTGGCATGGGGAATTGATAGGGGGTGGGGAATTATTCGAGGGTGGGGAATTAATCGAGTAAATACGGTAAACGTCTGGGTAAAATACCGGCACCATGTATACATCCCGAGCCTCGAAACGAGAATATAACTAATTAGTAGCAGGCAAACATGTTTATGGATGTCGCATGATGTATTTTTTATACATATTTTGCGGCATTGATATTATATGATTTTTTAAATCTATTATTTCTCATTTTATAAGATAAAATTTTTAGAAGAATCTATTGATGAATAAATTACACATTGTTATTTTCTAATTTAATTATTTTGAGTACATCAAACTAATTAATATTTTAAAACAAACTAAAATTTAAGAACAAATGGAAAAGTTTCAATGATGACTTGGACACAAAAATGCATGTGGTAGACGATAGTATAAATCTGTTAGATTGGATAGAGGAGATAAGATATATTACTTTTTCTCAATTGCTTCAAACTGGCGAGTTGGACAGTAGTTTTGTCACACAGTTTTTCCAAGGTTATTTTTATATTCATCCCCATATATATGAATAAATTTTACATCCTCAAAAACTACCTCAGACTGATTATTTTCTCTTAGTCCTATAACCTAAACTGGGAAAGAAACTTTTCGTAAAAAATACAAATGAGAAAATCCTTCTAACTATAAAATCCTATTCAATTTAAGAAAATATTTTCAAAATAAATAAATACATAATTAATTTCATTTTTAATTTAAAGAAAATGATGATAAGGAACAACAATTAAAATCAAGAATAGAAAAAATATTTGGAGCTAATAGTGTTCTTCAAATAAAAGTTGATCTAATAGTACATCGAAACAAATTATGGTACCAAGAAAAACTTAATGTAGAATCTGAGAGTGAAAACGAAAATAAAAAAGGTTACAAATAATTTTAAAAATTTTAATTTAAAGAAATTTTTAAGAAGAATTAAAGGAGGTAGACGAGATTATGAATGAAATGGGGATAATTGATAATGATAAAAATAGTATAAGTAAATTATCCATTAGCACTGCAAACAAACGAAGCAAAAAACAAAAGAAAAAGCAAAATAAAAACAAAAAGAGAATGGAATCCACTTCTGGGAATAAAATTGAAAAGACTAGGCAAAATATTGCAGATGAGGATTATAACAATGACAAAAATGTACAACTAAATAATGAAATATGTGAAAATTCTGAATTTTATAAAAATTTTAATGAAGATAACGTTGAAAATGATGAGGATAATGAAGGTTGGGTGCTGAATAAAAACGATGAAAAGAAACTGAGAAAGGAAGAGAGGAAGAAGATGGAAGAGGAGGAAAAGTTAAAACGGAATAAAAAATTGAAGGGAAAGGATATTGTGGATAAAACTTCATTTTCATTTAATAATATTAAGAAAATGAACTATAAAGAATATTATGATGCCGAAATGAAGAAGAAGAATATTTTGAATAATGAAAGTATAATTAACAATAAAATAAAAATAAATGAGGATTTGGAAAAAATAGACAACTCAAAGGAAATTAAAGATGAAAAACTTTTTGTAAATCCAGCAATCAGTTTCAAGGCAATTCTTGATAAAAAGGATTCGAGAAATGAATTGAGTGAGATTAATGAATTGAAGGAGGAAAATGAAGAAAGCAAGTGCGAAATGGAAGATAAAGTTAAAAATGCTGAAAAAGATGACAAAACTCTTGTTTCTTCAAACAAAATCGCCAATTCCTCAAAATTTTCTCCTTTTACTCCAATTAACTATTTAGAGAAGGATGCATTAGATGAAAGATACATGAGATTTATTTCAAGCAATGAAGATCATAGAAAGCTTATTCCTTCTTTGGACCTAGGAGTTATTGTTAATGAACTTAATAAACGTTTTAAACATTTTCAAAAAATTAGAATGAAGAATAACTGTCAGGATAATAATGTTAATTTGACTTTTGGAGAATTTCAAGGTACTGATTTAATATCCGCAGAAAATGTTCCCTTCTCAAATTCATTTAGAATAAATTTTACATTAAAGCTTTTAACCCTTTATTTTAATTGGTGAACTAGAAAAAATGGTATCTTGCTTCATAAATAGTAGAAATCGGAAATTTTGAAAATCCTGGACCTGTTCCTGGAATCTGGATTTTGATTTATTGACCTGGACTGGACCCTCGGCCTGAGGTCCAGGAAAAACCCACAGGAAAAACCCAGGAAGGTCAAAAATGCCTGGACCTTGACTCCTGGTACAAGAAGAAAAGGCCTTGGTTCCGACCCAGGCCGATCTCTACTTTATACAGGGTGACAAGAAAGTTCGGAGTTACACCTAATATTTTTAAATAATTTTATACTCATTTTATAGGCCATTCAATTCTCTATCATTTTACAAAATTAAGCCATATAATTTTCGATATAACAAAAATTATAGCCATAACCGTAAGGCATACCAAAATTTCCTCCACAAAATTTTACTTTCAGTATCTCAACGCTGAGAAGTCCGATTTGCGTGATTTTAAAAAAAATTTAATTTAGCATATTAGCAACCATGGTGAATTTTAAATATGAAACCTATAACTCTTACATGAAGGGCTGTGAGTAGATGTAATTCGGTTTTAAGGGGAAACGAATTTTTTGTTTAGGGTGGGTTATTCGTAAATAAATATCTCTCTAAACTCTTAGTTTAAAATTTTTTTGTTTTATAAGTTTTGAAGATCAGAGACCCCTCTAGCTTCCCTAAAAAATTCAAATCAATAACACAATCCGTAGCCAAGTTATACGTCTTCAACCACAAAAAGTGGTGCAAGTCTGAATCAAAAATCTTAAGACACAAGTTTGACCTTGTATCAACGCAGAAGGGTGGAATCTTTTGAACATATATTAAAATTTATTCCCTATTTAGTTCTCTATTTTATCATATTTATTTTATATCAGTAGAATATTTTTGAATGAAGTTATGTGAATAAATACTTCACTCTGAACTTTCTTGTCACTCTGTAGAACTTTCGGAGTTAATTCTATCCATTTTTGGAATAGAGCTTAAAGGACGTAAAGTATGCAAATTTTTATTAATCAAAAATAAAAATTATTTATTGAAGGAAAAGTTGACGAACAAAATGATAGTGATTGCTCTCTATTAAAGTTGGTCTTAAAATTGGAAAACAAATTTAATGAAATAAATGGAGACGCAAATTCCGTTGTAAATAATATGGAAAAATTAACAGAGCTGGAGAATAGATTCCACTCATTGTTAAAAGAATTATCAATGATTATGGATGACTGGAGAGATATACAAAAAGAAACCAATCGAGAATTAATAGAAGCAGAAATTAAAGCAGTTAAAATAAAGTTGCATAAGCAAAGGTAATTATCATATTATAAATAAACTTTAAAGAAATTTTAAAAATGTTGAAATTTTACTAAAAATGAATGTTAATATAGGGTTCAACCCCACCCCCGGGGAAAGTAATTTTCCGGGGAACGGGGGGAGGTCTCACTCCAGAGCACCTGTTCCCCATCACCGCAGTTGAAAAAAATTCAAAGGGGGGGGGCGAGGGGGGTTAATTAAAAACACCATTTCAGCTATAAATATATTTTTTAAAGGCTTGCAAATATAAATTCTAATCGCCAATGGAATTTAATGAAGCAAAAGAAACAAAAAAGAATATTATTTTCACTGCTAAATAATACAAATGTTAACGAATTTACTGATTATTTAAATAATTATGAAAGTAAAAAAATGCAGAAAATGTTAATAAGTTAGTTGATTAATTTTTAAAAAAATTCTAAAAATATTCTCTAAAAATTTAGCATCAACTCAAAATAATTTAATAGATTTTCCAATTTTTGATGAATTGCCTTATTTTTTTGTTCAGAAGGAATTTGCAAGAAATATTGTAAATATTAATAAAAATTTTTTTATAAAATCTAAAATTAGTAATATTTTGTATGAAAACCAACTTGTACTATAATTAAAGAAATTATAATTTTCAATAGATTCTTTTAATCTTTTTCGAAAAAATTAAGCGATTACATTTTTTTTCATATAAGTTATGTAATTAGAAATGCAAGAACGTCAACTCTTTACGTATATCTTCAAGATCTCAAAACCTTATTCGGAAAACAGATTTAAGTTTTTCTGAGACACTGCCTGATAATTTCTTTTACATTTTCGATTAATTATTCATTTTAAGCTTAATGAACGATCGACAGAAATTATTGATTCATCAATCGTTAAAGATAGATCTTCTCAAGAAATAGTAAAGATAGTTTCAATTATTTCAAAATGGGCTAAATCTAAAAATTGTCATCTGATTGAATTTTTATTGAGCGGCTCTCGAAAATTAAAGACAGAAACTATTGACTCAGATGTTGATGCTATTGTTGTATTGCATAAAAAGAAAAATGATAATTGTAAAATAAATGGAATAAATAATTTTTATGGAAATCCAGATTTTGATTTATGTCAACCTTTTGTTGGAAATATAAAATGCAATGACAATTCACTTTATTGTTATTTATGCAATGTAAAGTATTTTTTAGAGATTAATATAGGAATAAAATTGTATTTCCGGAAGAGTGTTTGGAAACTCATCCTAAAATTCGGAGAGTGTTTGGAAACTCATACTAAAATTTTTGTTGTTTTCCCTCATGGATTTTTATCCGGAAACAAACTTTTAAATTCTCATTTCTACAGTTCGGTCCAGAACCTAAAACCTTACAAATACGATCTAATTATAAAATTTAGAATTATTCAATCAAAAAGCTCCACAAAATTATGCATACTCGCATTAAAATAATAAAGTTTAATACAAATGCAATTAATTTTGATATTTCTTTCATAATAATTGATGAAATTCAATCAGAAACATTAAAAAATACTTTTCCTATAAATGGATTAAATAATCAAGAATTTGAGGAAATAATAGAACATAAGAGACAAAAATCAAAAAATTTGTATAAACCCGAAGATTTGTCTGGAATTGAAAGCGAAATTTATTCACTTGCTTCGTTTAATTCAAATAATATTATGTTGAAATTTATAGAAATGAATGGTAATGTAAATAAATTTCAATTATTTGCGAGGACGATTAAGAAATGGGCTAAAAGTAAGTTTAGTTTGTTAATTTTCTGGATACGTTAAATAAAAATTTATTTTATCAAAAGAAGATAAGATTTAATTATAAGATAAGATCTAATTATAAGATCTAATTACAAATCAAAGTTTAAAATTATATTATATATTAAAATTATATTAGATAAAGTATTAAAATTCAGAAACGAAAATAAGAATAGAGATAAGAATGTGATTTTAACACCATCGGATGAGGGTTAAAATCAGGGTTGTTACCGATAATGAACACCCCTGGTCAACCGTGAACATTTTTCATTTGAGAAGAATTTTTTATACATATTCCAAAATCAACAAAAATTACAAATCAAATATTTCTTGGAAAATAAGAATGTGTTTATTTTCAATATAAATTTTAAAAATTTATTTAAAAATAAACCCACCAATTTCTAGCGTAAAGTTTTTCATTTCTATTTCAGATCATTTCATTTATGACGGTCAATTAGGATTTCTAAATGGCGCAACATTAAATGTGCTAGTTATTAAAGTATTATTGCTATATTTCGATTCATCCTTGCTTTATTTGTTGCAAAAATTTTTCCAAACATATTTGGAATGGTTTGATAATTTATTTCGTGTCTGGGGAAAACGGCAGTGAGTAATTTGGGCAGTGAGTGATTTGGGCAGTAAAAATTTTTTAAAAAATAATTTTACACGCGAAAACAATTTGAGTAACGTTAGAAAAATAATTCTGAGCGATTTGGGCAGTAATTTAGAATTTTTAAATTATTTACACAAAAATTCAAAGAACCGCACCCCTTTTTCATTTTGATAACGTTGTAGTACAACATTACCCTTTGTTGAAATCGTCTTGGTCTCAATTTTGACGTTTCCCTAAGTGATAAGTAGATTTAAGGTATGAAAATTTGAGAAATAATTCCTATTTTAAGTTTTTAGGTCTCAAGATATATTTACGTTAATTCAATATCGCTTATTACTTTTAGGGATTGGCAAAATATTGTAAGTTTAGATGAATTAACAAATAAACCGCTTAGTTGGAGTTCTGAGGAAGAATTAAATAAAAGAAGAGGAATATTTCTCGGTAAAAAATTTGGGGTATCAGAGAAGGAAATGAAAAGATTAGAAAATCATGCAAATCTGATAATAGTTGTTTTAACACCTGGTTATCCTAAACAGAATTGTTCTTTTAATGTTAATTATTCAACTAGACAAATAATTCAAAAAGAGTTGGAAATTGGTAAAATGTTGTTTTAATTTTTAGCCTTTACTCGTGATGAATAAAGGTTTTATAAATGATTATAGATGAAAAATTAAGAGTCATTTGGGAAAATCGAAGTTGGACCAGCCGTGATAGCTACTTTCATTATCTGAGTTATCGTGTGTCGTAATTTTAGGGGCGATTTACATTACACGCTTAATGGATGTGTAAATGTCTATTTAATAATTTTAATTTATTCCTCTAGATCTTTAATGACTAATTTAGGTAATAATATGCTAATAAATGCAAAAAATACGTACGAAGAAATAAGTTTAATTAATAATTGGAAAAAGTGGCTAAATGGAGTTAATTTTTTAGATAAGGTCAGAAATTAAACAAAAAATATTTTTAAATAATTTTTATAGTATAAAAATTATTTGTTAATTTTGTGCAATTCAAAACATTATAATTTGAAGGAAAATGTAAATTATTGTAATTATGTAGAGAGTCGCATTCGTTTAGAATTGGTGTTCTCAATAGAGGATGATAATTTGATTAAATATGCTCATGCTTTTAGTAAAGAAAATTGGTTGCCAAATGAAATAAAACAAAAATATGGGTAAAAATCATTTTTAAGACTTAAGTTATTTTTTAAGTTTATTTTATGATGGGAACTTTAGAGCTGATACTGAGCGTTCGAGGATAAAAAATTAAATAGAGGGTCTTGGCTCAGATGAGAACATTGAGGTCAGAATCGTCTTGATTCCAAATTTTAGGGTCTACGTTTTTATCTGAGTAAAGAGTATCCTGGTTGAGATTTAAAAATGAAAATCTAAATAAAATAACAAAATAAATTGTTATTTATTAAAAATATTATTTTGCAGAGGACATATTATCCAGCACTGGTGGATAGGAATTGAAACATATGAACAAATAAACCAAATAGAAATCTATAATGGCAGTGAAGGAAATATTTTAAAAAATTTTGTTGATAGAATTCAGACAAACACACCAAATGTTTTGAGCAAGTCTAAGGGATGGTTGGAGATGTTTTACTACAATAAAGAGAATGATAAAAATATATTTAAAAGTTACTGACAAATAAATAATCCTTAAATTAAAATAATTTTATATTAAATATGATCGGATTTTTATGGTGTAAAAGCATTAAGATAGGTACATAAATATGTTGAAAAATGCCAAAAATGTTTACATAATTAGACAAAGTTTTTATTGTGACAAAGTTTGTATTGTGAGCTTATCTGAGAGCCCTTGAAATTCTCAATAAGGTAGCATTGATTTTATTGTACAGAAATAATTCCTTGGAGGATGCAGGGAGTATGCAAAATCCTCCAATGAATAATTCATTGAAGGATCTCGACTCAGACTGCGGCATAAAATCCTAGACATAAAGCTATAAATTAAAAGCGCATTAATCGACTTTAAATAAAAAGTGCAATTTCTTAATATTCACATGAAATTATTATGACAGGAAAATTAAATTTAGCTACAAAACAATTTGTTTATTTGTGTTAATAATTACGAAACCTGTTGCTAAAAATTTAAATTATATATTTAAATTTATGTATAATGAAATAATATTTAAAAAACAATGTCCAATAATTTTGATTTTACATGATTTATTGAATTACTTTATGTGGTTCTTACAATGGCAATTTTTATCTCGCTACCGGGTGTCGTTTGTAAATCTTCTATTTTTTATATAATGATCCTCACAATTTTTCCACTATTTACATTTAGGAATTTAGGGAAATAATAAGAATTTTTTTTGATAAAAATTCTCAGTTCTATTTATATAAAATTCTCTTTAGAGCTTTTTTCTGTTCCTCAAATGATTAATATTTTTAATTTTGAGCAAATCCCAGCCTCTCTTATTCGTATAAAATCAAAATAGAAACAGATTATTAAATAGTTTAGCAAATAATTTTACTCTATAAATAAATTTACTAACTCACACTTTTCGGCATTTTTCTTTTTTTTTAAAGATTTCCCAATAAAAACAATTTCTCAATAGGTAAATATTTACGTCATTTTTTAGACATTATAAGAATTACCGACATTCACCAAAAAAATAATTTAAAATTTATTTATTACTAACCAGTTAAAAATAATTTTAGCTAAACAGAAAATAAAAATGCAAAAAACTTTTATTTATTTATATATTTATTAACAAATTTTATAAGAATTAATAATTCAATGCTATTAAATAAATCTAAATCTGTAGCTTTGGGGGATAGAAGTTTTACTGACTATGGAAAAATGAAAAATCGGGATTTTACAATGGAAAATGATAAACATCGGCATTTTAAGAGTGCTTCGTTGTCTATTAATCCAGGTGGCTACAAAGATAGATTTCTGCAGACATCTGTTGGAGCGTCTTCTAGTAATAACTTAAAGATAAAATCGTCTTTGGTGACAAATGGTGAGCAAATAAAATTATTTAATAAAACGAAGTAAAAATTTCAATCCCTCTCTCTTATGTCCCCAAAATTTTCAACGAGATCCGAATCTACAAAAACTAGGATCTTAAGTAAAGCATAATATTTATGTATAAGGAATCACCAAATACTTATAAATATTTCAGCTGATCACCAAAAATATATTATTGAAAAAATCGACACGATTATGAAGCAAGGAAAATTCAATAAAAAAGGTTAATTAATTAAGTAAATTACTAAATTTAATTACTTTTAAGATATTCCTCATATTTATTATTCTGATCCGCAATTGAAATATGAACAATATTATTATGGTAATACGGAGGAAACATTGAAAAAATATTCTAAAAATTACCAACAATTGATGTCTTGTATTGAATATTTTATGGATGCAGAACGTAATAAAACATTATTGGAACTCATTGTAAAGATAAAATTTAGTGAAGGAAAAATTTAATTAAAATTCATACTCTTGAATATGTTTTAAATCGTTGGGAAAAATTCTACAAAATGTTGAAAATTTGGAATGATATTGAGATAATGGATGAGGTTACCAATTTCAATTTAAAATTATTTAAATAACTAGCAGACAGTTTGTCTTCCGTGTTAAATTTTTAATAAGGGATTGTTTTTCTTTATATAGGTATTTTGCTAATGCTAAGGCCATTGACTATGCCTGAAAAAGACATAAATTGGCTTGGCGATTTGAGAATATTTAATGTATGTATGTAGATTCCGGTACTGATTAGAATCGATAAGGAACCGAAGAAACTCGACAATGATTGATGCAAGCCCGTGAAGGAGACAATAACTCCTCTATTAACCATAAAATAAAATAAATAAAGTAAAATTTTAATCAGGAAAAACTGACAAAACAATTTATTAATCTTGAATCTATAATAAAACTGGGATATTTACGTTATATTTACTTGGATGAATTCTGCAAGAATGTTGAAATAATTTACAATGAAAAGGCTGAATTTAAAGATTATTTTGAACATTTTTGTATCGAAAATGTTAATAAAGTTTTGAAACCTTTAAAAAGTATAATTTCTTTTGATGATTAAATTATAAATGGATGAATTTTAAAATTAATAGTTGAGATTATTTGAAAGAAAAATGATGGAGCATTCATTTATACAAATGTTAAAAATATGTAGCTTCTAGTTTAAAAAAGTGATACTATTATGTAGATTTTTGGTATATCTATGTCTCCAATCAACAAGCTTTATGCTTCAATCATATTTTTCGAATGCTTATAAAAAATTTTGGCTCTTGTCCAGTTTATGCGTCCCATGAAAGTATATGCGTCCCATCAACAAAAAATTGGATATTTCTTGGTGTTGCAAAGTAGGGGTATGGTTCCAAAGCATTTCTTCATGTTCGGGATCTACGTCCACTGGGTCTGGGACCATTCCTTACCCTATCCCTCGAAATTTCTGAAAGTTATAACCAATTTTTAAAAATTTCAGAAAAACGATTTTAACTTTCAGAAATTTCGAAGTATAGGGTAAGGAATGGTCCCAGACCCAGTGGACGTAGATCCCGAACATGAAGAAATGCTTTGGAACCATACCCCTACTTTGCAACACCAAGAAATATCCAATTTTTTGTTGATGGGACGCATATACTTTCATGGGACGCATAAACTGGACAAGAGCCAAAATTTTTTCAAACCTAATCATATTTTCAAGCAGTTTGAAATCTTCTAAGTTAAATAGTTAAGAAGTTAAAAATGGACTAGCATATCTTTAATTTTTATTAGAATAGTATTGCTCTTTTATATTGCCGTGATACATGACTAATTCCATGATAATGACCATGTAACGAGGCATCATAATCTATGTCCATTATCTTGTTATCCTTTTCACACCATTATTTATTTAATTAATGTTTGATTGGATGCATAAAAATTCTAATAATTAATTAGTAATGCAAAAATTTTGGATTAATTAAACAAATAAATAGTTATTTTTTTTCTCTTATGAATCATTTTAGTATAAAATTTTTAATCAGTTATTTAATATGTATAATTAAATAATTTTTTTAGTTTTTAATAATTCTATATTTGTTTTTTATTCCTATTAATTAAAACCAAGGTTTCTTGATTAAAGCTGACCCGAAAAATCGCAAATTTTTGATAATATGCAAATGATTCTTAAAAGAATACACTTCATAGCAAAACCTGGCTAAAACTGAAAAATTGCGTGATACCGCAGCAGAATTTTTATCATAATTTATCACAAATTTTAAAAGTTGTTGAACAAATTCTTTCCACCCACCCCTTCACCGGTTATTAAACCGGATACAAATAATTAAACATTAAATAATTTTGAGTAACTACATTTCATATTTTTCTAATAGATTTAATATTTGCTTAGCTTTTTCTAAGAAATAATAAATATAATGTTTGTTGTAAAATATATTATTATTGTATTTATATCTATATTGTATATTCAATCTTCATTTGAAGGTAGGCAAAATATACATACTAATAATTTTAAATTAATAAATTTAAAAAGATTCACTCAATCATATGATAGAAGTAAGCATTAAAGATTTGCATATTTGTCAATTCGAAACGGTTGTAAATAAGGGAATATTGAACACAAAAAATTTTTATGAAGTCTTAAATATTTCGATCGAGACTGGGAAAAAATGCCTCGGAAAAGCTAACGAATTAAATAAGACAAAAAATATTTGCAACTTCACAAAATCTGATAACCATACAGGCGAGATTCTTTATAATAATGGAAGTGAAATAGGTCTGTATGAAGTTGATGGAGAAGCTAAGAGTGCTGAGGTAAATAATTTGATTCAACAAAGATTTCTTATAATTTTAATTTGGTTGCAGTTTAAGTAACCTTCGAGCTAATTATTCTTAAATATTTACGAGACACAACTTCGGAATGAGTCCTAGTACATATGTTAATATCCTAATCAAGTTTGAATAAAGAATTAAAAAAAGAGCCGAGCAAAATTCTTGAAGTTTTAAGTATAATCTTAGAATAATTTGTAAAATTTGTAAAAAACAGTCTGTAAATGTATGTGATAAACTTATTATTTAATTTTAAATTATTTCCAAATCAAAACTTAAACCCCCTTAATTAACTTTACTAAAACTAGAGAGATCTAAATTCCCTGACTGACTTTGATTAATTTATCAATCCTTGTACGTATCAATCTGGCCTAGTTTTAAATATTTTAACCAAAGCCATGACTTATAAAATTAATTTTAATTCCAGTTTGTTAATTCATCATTCTTTTAAAGGTTATTCTTAGAGATAAAAAGCTTATTAACGATGGTGCTAATGAAATGCAAAGACAACTTTTAGATTTATCATCTAATGGCTTTTATTTCCGAAAATTATTAGTTGTTGGGAAATCCAGATATTTATTTCGGAACACAAGTGGTTTTGTTTTGAGTGGTGTGCGATATCTACGTGCTTATTATTGCGTTCAGGTATATTGTAAAGTGGAAAACGAGTTGTTGATATTTTTTAGAAATTAGCGAAAACGATCCAAGAAAAATATAGACAACAAAGTTCTGATACAAGTTCATATGTAAATTATACAATAACAGGAGTTTGGATTCACAATGAGGTAATAAAAATATAAAATATTTTTTCATTGCCTCAACTGTTAATAAATGATGAACGATAACATTTAAAGGAAATTGTGGATGCTATGAAAAGAGTTGTATCTCAGAAGGATAATCTGTTAAATTATCATTCGATTAAAGAATTGAATGATATGAGAAAAAATATAACGGATGGGATAGAAAAAGTGGCGACATTAGAAAATGTTGCAAATAAAAAATATGGAAGAGGTAATTTAAATTTAATAGTTCAATGTTGCTTTAAAAATATCTTTTAAATACAAATTGATAGAAAGTTACGAAAAACATTTTGAATTTTTGTTAGGCTCATCAATGGCATTAGTTGGATATTTTGCTTTGAATAAAAATCAGTTTAATGACAGATATAGCAAGTGTAATAGAAACGGCGAGCAATGTATCGCTTTCTTTCATATCAGTGCCCACAATGATACTAGGTAAAAAATATTCTTAAAAAGCATGTAGAGAAAGAATGGGATTCTTCTTCTCTAATTAGGGTAGGTCTTAAAAAGGGTAGTCGGAATCCAGCGACCGAGAGAAACTGGGGATATTCTCTCTAAGGTTAAAACAAAATAATTCTTTTCCAGTCAAATTTTATTTCTTTCACAGCAAAAATATTAAAGAAAGGTAGGCTAACAATTGCTAATGTGAAGCAATGAAAAGGATAATTGGTAAGAGGAAGAATAATGTAAACTTATCAACTGAACGAAAATAGGGATAAGGAATAAGCATATATACAAAGAAATATGGACACAGGAAAGAAAATATAAAAGCTAAAGTTTATGTTGATAGAAAAGGCTGGGAAAATTCTTTAGATTAAATTAGATAACTAGTACAAGAAATGTTTTTATGGAAAATAAATAAAAAGTATGGGAAAAATAAAAAGTTGTATTTCCGACTTCGCGAGACCCGTCGCGACACTCCAGGCCAGGCTTTCATAAAAGGTAAGGGTGGTGGCGGCAACAAAGGGCATAGTTGTTGTTCCGGTTTACGTTGAGCATATTCAAAGGAGTTGGTGGGTTGCGCCTCACGAAGTCTAGGCATGATAACGGTATGGGTCCAGGTAGTCGATGCATGGGACTGTAGGCCAGTGAGCATTCTAAGCACAAACCACCATACCAAGTGGGAAAAGTTGTGCATGGAAATATATGGGGAGAATTAATCAGTTTAGGGTTTATTTTTACCTTTATTGGCCGGGGATTAAATTCCATTCTTTTTGATGGCATATTCGGTAGGCACTCCCGCAAGGCTTTTGGATTTGGTGTAGTTGTTTGTCGTTTCAATTTAACATTATGGTTGTTGGTAATAGGCGGTGGGCATAATTTGACTTTGTTGTACAATTTATTCAGGGTAGGCTTTCTGGGCAGGGTTTTAACGGGGGTTGCTATCAGTTGGGAACAAAAGGTCTGTTGGTTGGGATTTGAATTGTTCGGAGAGGAAGGAGGCTGAGGCGGTTCGGTAAGTCTAGTATCAGGTCTGGATTGGGCAAAATAAGCATTATTATTAAGGTAAGGTAGAGGAGGCCGTTGGGGAAGCCTCGGAGTAAATTGAGGTTTTGAGGGTAATAGGTGAGAGCAAAGGGCCCGGGGGTGAGGGCCACCACAGGAAGAGCATTTCATGGGCATTTGGCAGTGGGGAGAGTTATGCCCTTCTTTCATACAGCTAAAACACCGCCGTAATTCTCTGAGTTTATTTCGGCGGGAATATAGGTCAGGATATTGTTTACAGGAAGGGGAGAAATGCCCAAATACATTACAAAACAGGCAGGGAAGCTTGGGTTCTCTGGTGGGAAATTTTCGCATTGTCTGCGTATGGAAAGTTAATGAGGATTGAGGTAAGGGAGGAGAGTCATTTCTAGGGGGCAATAAAATTTGAGGGGAAATTTGAACTTGCGGTTTTGGAGGGCTGGTGTTCATTGCTGCAATATCTTCTTTTCTTTTTAATATGGCCTTCAATTTTTGCTTTAGTAATTCTGTTGTCCAGGCAGGATTTTCTTCTTTGGCTTTATAAATTTCTTCTAATACAAAAGTAGGTAGTTTTGATTCTATTTCTAATTGAATGTGGATGTTGTCAGTATTCTCTCCTTGTTGAGTAAATCGGCAAATGAGGCTTTCAAATTCTTTAACTAAGGAAGATAAGTCACGGCAAAAATGTTCGCCTTTTCTGACAGTTGGTAGTTGTTTGAGAGATTGGCATAATGAACGGGAAATTTCTGTGGGGTTTTCGTATTTCTGTTTTAGTAGGTCGACCGCCTGAGGGTAAGATTGGTCCACCAGAGGGAAGGATTCAATAACGGCTAAAGGAGCCGAACGGAGGCAGGATTTGAGGTAGGAGAGTTTTACTGAGTCGGAAATATTCGTTAAGTCTCCGACAGCAGCCTGGAAGGAGGACCAAAATGATGGGAATTCAACACAGTTCCCGGAAAATTGAGGTAAGGCCATTCTGGGTAGGTGGGCCAAGGAGGTAGAAGCAGTAGTAGCGGTAGGAGGAGGGGTACTGGAATTATTGCCGGGTAAAATCCCACGAGACTGCCAAATTTCCAACAGCCCAACATCCCACGAGACTGCCAAATTTCCAACAGCCCAAGCCAACGCCCGATTGCCATTTCTCTCAATCCGCACCTTATACTATCAGTAATGACCCCCGTCCACCTCCTCCACCTAATTTAGAACCTAACCTACAGACAAACTCTTCTACTAACCCTATAAGCAATTACCGACCGATTTTGCTTAAATGTGTTCGAACCACTATTTTCAATCCGAACTTCCTTTCCTGTCAATATGAAGGAATTGTGCTTCTCGATGACGCTAGTACTATACGTATATTCATACTACGGTAGCGAATGCCCTGAATCTAAACCTATCTCCCAGTTCTATTAACCTTGGGGTCTTCAATAACCCTTCCATAACTTCTTTACCTACTTATACCACCACTTTCGGTCTTAAATTAGTTGATGGCCGTTCCTTAATTATAAAAGCCAATACTTTGAACCACCTTACCCAACCCACGCCATATGTACCATTTTCTAATGAACTGGTCTATGAAAAGGATCTTGTACGAAATTACCAGAATGTTGTTCCAAGCATCCTGTTGGGAAGTGACTTTTACTATGAAATAGAGCCCACTCCAATATACCGATTACCCTCCGGTTATCACCTAATACAGACACTTCTTGGGCTTATAATTGCTGGAAAACCTTTTGGATGCTCAAATTCCCTCCAGATTACCAATTTCTCTTCCCAAACAACCGTCACAGAACCTCCTAATGAATTTTTCACCCTCGAAAGTATAGGCATTACCGATCCCTCCACGACCAAGACTGACGACTCGGTCCTACAAGAATTTAACCGAACTACCGAATTTACCAATGGCCGATACCAAGTAATGTTCCCATTTAAATCCTGCCCAAAAACTTTACCCCTTCCTTCAAATTTTGGATTATGTTGGGGAAGATTACGTTCAACATTGAATTCATTGAATAAAAACAACGACTTATTGGAAAAATACAATAAAATTATTGAAGAGCAACACCAACTGGGAATTATCGAAACGGTTGAAAATCCCAAGAATTTCCATCCTCCGTTACATTACCTACCCCACCATGCGGTTATAAACAGTGCTGGGTATGGCTCCGGGAGCTAGCTCCGGAGCCCGGCTCCGGAGCCGGCTCCGGCGGAGCCGGAGCCGGAGCTAAGATTTTGGAAACCCCGGAGCCGGAGCTGGAGCCGGAGCCAAGAATTTGAAGTGCCCGGAGCCGGAGCCGGAGCCAAGGTTTTTCAATTCCCCACGGCTCCGGCTATACACCCCTAAAGATGGGTTAGAGAAAAAGAAGTAAGCAAAGATGGTAGGCGTGAAAAGAAAAGGAAGAGAGACGGGTAAAAAAGATTTTCTTTCCTTTCCTTAGCAATGAGGTGTGGTTGAATGGATAGTGTGTTTGGTTCGTATTTTAGAGGACTTATCTGGGTATTATGTTCGAACCCGAACGTAATGAAAGACTTATTTATTGTTTTTATTTCAACAATAAATTATTATAATCATTTTTTTCTATTAAATGAAGCTGGATAAATTTTTCGAATTGATTAATTTTTGTCTCCAAGGATCTTCCAAAATTCTCAAAATTTTCGCCTGCGGCGCAAAAAAGGGAGAAATCTGGCTTAAGGATCTTCCAAAATTCTCAAAATTTTCGCCTGCGGCGCAAAAAAGGAAGAAATCTGGCTTAAGGATCTTCCAAAATTCTCAAAATTTTCGCCTGCGGCGCAAAAAAGGAAGAAATCTGGCTTAAGGATCTTCCAAAATTCTCAAAATTTTCGCCTGCGGCGCAAAAAAGGAAGAAATCTGGCTTAAGGATCTTCCAAAATTCTCAAAATTTTCGCCTGCGGCGCAAAAAAGGAAGAAATCTGGCTTAAGGATCTTCCAAAATTCTCAAAATTTTCGCCTGCGGCGCAAAAAAAGGAAGATAATCCACCCAAATCCGATAATCCACCCAAATCCCGCTTAATCCATTGATAACCCTCTTAATCCTCTTATATCACTCGATATCCCCCTTTATCTACCCAAATCCCCCAATGAAAAATAATTCATTGATTTTCCACCCGGAGCCCGGAGCCAACATGGAGCGGCTCCGAAAATCGCCGGCTCCGGAGCCGGAGCTGGAGCCGGAGCCAAGATTTTAAAAGGCCGGAGCCCGGAGCCGGAGCCGGAGCCAAGATTTTGAAACCCCGGAGCCCGGAGCCGGAGCCGGAGCCAAGAATTTGAAAGGCCGGAGCCCGGAGCCGGAGCCAACAAATGGCAAATACCCAGCACTGGTTATAAATCCCAAAAAAGTCCGCATTGTTTATGATGGGTCCGCAAAACTTCCTAATTCATTTTCCCTCAATGACTGCCTTCATCCTGGACCCGTAATTTTACCGGAACTTGTAGGTGTTCTCCTCCGAATGCGAATTCCAAAAATAGTTATTGTTTGTGACATCCAAAAAGCCTTCCTACAAGTCTCAGTGCATCCAAACCATCGAGACTCGATTCGATTTTTGTGGTTAAAGAATATCCAACAACCGTTATCCCTTGAAAATTTACAAATTTACCGATTTACCCGAGTCCCATTTGGCCTTTCTCCTTCCCCATTTTTACTCGCAGCTACTATTTTATACCATTTACGACTAAATCCATCACAATTAACTGAAGAAATACTACAAAATATTTACGTAGACAACATTTTGTTTGGCGCGGAAACTGTCCTAGAAGCCAAAGAAAAATGTGACTCGTTAATTAAACTTTTTTCAACTGCCAACATTAAACTACGTGAATTTATTTCCAATACTCCCGAAACTATTGACCATATCCCTCTTGACGACAAACTCAATGGTCCCAAACAGAAATTCCTCGGCGTTGGATGGCAAACCGATACCGATTACCTTTTCGTGGAAACCCATGCCCCTCCTACCAAATTATCCAAAAGAACTATTCTTTCTTTTATTGCTTCCCACTACGACCCTTGCGGCTATATTAGTCCTATTATTTTACCCTTGAAATTATTCCTACATGAATTGTGGTCTGAAAAACTTGCATGGGACGAGAAACTACCTGAAAAATTAATTAATTCCTGGAACAACCTAATTAACGACTGGCAAATTGGAACTGTACAAATTCCCCGACTAATTTCAACTTTACCTGTTGACAACAGAGTTTACCAATTACACTGCTTTTCAGACGCCTCTCTTACTGCTATGGGATGTGCCGTGTATTTACGTACGTTGAATCCTATTTCCAAAATTTCCCAGGTTTCGTTACTATTTTCCAAAACCAAAATTAAACCCTTGAAATCCAACAATAAACTAACTGTACCCAGGCTGGAATTAATAGCAGCAAAAATCGGAACCAATGCTTTGGTTTATGTACACAAGGAATTGTCCCACTTGAATATTACCGTACCTCTTTTCCTTTGGATAGACTCCTCGGCTGTTTTAGGGTGGTTAACCGGGAAAAACCCTACCAATGAAATTTTTGTTTCCAATTGCCTAAACCACATAAGAAAAATTCCTGATTTATTGGTACAACATGTTTCTGGTCTCGACAATCCGGCCGACATTTGCTCCCGTGGTTTAATTAATGCCCAACAACTACAACAACAAAAAGTCTGGTGGAATGGTCCCCGTTGGCTGACAACTGATGCTTGGCCTCAAACCGAAATTAAACCTTTCCTTTCCAATGACCCGCCAAAATTGCCTTCTCCAAATATTGCTATGACTTTCCACACCCAGACCGAATTAAAGACCCGAACAATAGACCCTTCTTTAATCTCAAGACTCCCGAAATTATTACGGATTTTTGCCTTCTCCCTCCGCTTTATATACAAATTACGTCCAAAAGCCGAAGTTTTTCCTCAACAATTCAATATTGACTATAATAAAATATTTCCGGCATATTTTGAAATTTACCTGGCAAAAACCCTATTAATAAAACAAGAGCAACAAATACTACCTCCACCAGATAAAGACAACGAATCCTTGGGCCTTTTTCTCGACAACGATGGAATTTTGAGAGCCAAAGGCAGGCTAGGCCACAGTAACCTTCCCGATGGTACGATTGAACCAATTTACCTCCCATCCCATTCCCCACTTACTAAATTAATTGTTTATGAATATCACCTATTGAATCACCATTCCAGCCCGCTTTTGACCCTCTCCATGATTAGAAGAAGATATTGGCTACCAAAAGGGAGAAAAATCGTTTCCCAAGTTATTTACAAATCCTGTTTACCTTGCCGTCGGTTCGTTGCCAAACCGTTTGACCCACCACCTTTCCCGCCACTACCTTCCGAAAGAGTGGAATTATTGCGCCCTTTCCTTTCTGTGGGGCTTGATTACTGCGGCCCTTTAAAAATATTTGACCAAAACCAAACCGAGAGAAAAAGGAAGCCACTCACCAAAAAATATTGGATAGTCCTATGGGTTTGCCTTTCTTCCCGTGCCCTCTCTCTCGATTTAGTGCCCGACCTAACCAATCAATCCTTTCTGTTGGCTTTCCGACGATTTGTTGCTAAATGTGGACTACCTAAAAAATTATTTTCTGACAACGCGCCAACATTTACTTCCTTCCAAAAAGCTTTAGAGCCGCAATTCGGCATAAAGAATATTGAATGGGACTTCAGAGCACCACTAGCAGCGTGGAAATCCGGGCACTACGAACGTTTAGTAGCCCTAATAAAATACCACTTACGACGCTCCCTCTCTATTGGAGCTATTCCAAAATTATTTTCCCTCGACCAAATAACAACAGTAATTGCCGGGTAAAATGGCGGTTAATTCATTTTTCTGGGCGGTCAAGGATCGAACGTATTTTTTGAGTTTTCCAATAAGGGAAGGGTACGGGCAGGTTCTCGTAAATTCGTCATAAACGTCATTGTCATGGGTACGTTCGGGACCCGTCATTTTTTCTCGAAGGCACATCCATTGGTCATGAGTAGTGGAAAGGTCAAGGAGGTTATCAGAGGCCTCGGAAAGAGTAAAATCCAATTCACGGAGGTAGGCACGGATCTGGGAAAAATATATATGATCCGATTGTCCGTGGTTTCGATGAGGGACGGGAAAGGTCTTATTGGCTTCCAAAATTCCTGTAATTTCTGGGTAGAGGCTTTTAATCTGGTTTCTGAACGGGAGAGACATTTTTCAAGTAAAATGGTGGAGTAAATTTCGAAATGTAGAAATCAGTCAGGAAAAAGTATAAATCAAACAAAAAAAATAACAGGAGTAAAAATTTCACAAAAGAGTAAAAATAGTACGTAGGAAGTAAAGTCCGATCTGGGTAAGACTGTAGAGAAAGAATGGGATTCTTCTTCTCTAATTAGGGTAGGTCTTAAAAAGGGTAGTCGGAATCCAGCGACCGAGAGAAACTGGGGATATTCTCTCTAAGGTTAAAACAAAATAATTCTTTTCCAGTCAAATTTTATTTCTTTCACAGCAAAAATATTAAAGAAAGGTAGGCTAACAATTGCTAATGTGAAGCAATGAAAAGGATAATTGGTAAGAGGAAGAATAATGTAAACTTATCAACTGAACGAAAATAGGGATAAGGAATAAGCATATATACAAAGAAATATGGACACAGGAAAGAAAATATAAAAGCTAAAGTTTATGTTGATAGAAAAGGCTGGGAAAATTCTTTAGATTAAATTAGATAACTAGTACAAGAAATGTTTTTATGGAAAATAAATAAAAAGTATGGGAAAAATAAAAAGTTGTATTTCCGACTTCGCGAGACCCGTCGCGACAAGCAAATTTAAAAATTAATCTTGAAAAATTGTTAATTATTTAATTTGGTTGATTCACGTTTTAATTTTTGGATGAATTTAAATTTTATCATTTTTGGATAAATTTAAATCACATACCACAATTGCTAAATTTTTATATTATTTTTTAGAAAATTTATTGAAAAAAATTAGTAAAATCAATTAAAAACTGGGAAAAATCTAAGATTAATTTTTTCCAATTAAATATTTTTAATAATTAGAATAGTATATTAAGATGAAATATATGTATGTATAATTATTTAGATTTGGAATATTAGACGATGATCTTGATCAAGAAAAATTAAAAGAAAATTAATTTATATTAATGAATGTATAATTTAAAAAATTTTTAATAAAATATAATTACTTTTACTTCAACAGTTATAAAATTAGAATAGTTTTGATTTAAAAAATTATGTGTATAATTGGAGGTGAATTAGAGTTTCAGCTGTTTTCCGAAAACCAGTAATTTCAAAGTTCAGTCGGGAACATATTTTTATGCCGGCACTATCAATTGTCCTATAAAACATTCAAAAATTTGGTCAGGTTTAGATATTTATTACATTTAACAATATTATTTAATTTATTCCTTTAATATAAAAATAAATAATACATTTATTATCTCCACTACATCTGTTAAATTCTTTTTGATTTTTAAATTTGTCGAAAACAATGTAGCCAAAAATTGCCATTGAAGAACTTCCTTTCTCTTTAAAAATAAATTTTATACAATTGTATCTTCCTCTCATTTTTGTTGATGGAGAGTGTAGGTGGGTCGGAATTCTGATTTCCGGTTTTTTCCGAGTTCCGACATTTGAGCCAGTTCCGATTTCCGGCTCTCCCGATTTCCGACACCTCTGACTGTTCCGACTCACCTCCTGATGGGGAGGATCTCTAGCTAAGGGCTAGACTCTTTACTAGTTGAATAAATACCTCCATTCAAACTTTCCAACTTTGCAACATTTAATATTCCATTAAAAATATCCTCTCTGTAAGTATTATTTAATGATTTATCTTTAATAAGCATATTCTTAGAGTGTGTCACATTTTTCATGCTTTTTTTAATTTTGGGCTAAAATCATTTTTTTATATTCTTTATAAATTATTATTCTGTTTACATCATTTCGAATCCAAATCCCAGCAATTGTATAATTTATAGAAGCTTCTCTCGTTTTAGGCTCACTTTGGTATATTTTAAGCATATTAAGAGTGAGCTTCTGTTTAAAAATTAATGGACATAAATAATACTTTGTTAATAGTTATAGCTATACCTTAACACAATAAATTGCCCTGGCATATCTCACTTCTCGAGAAATAAATCCACTAGTTTTTGTAAAATGATTTTTATTTCTTTGAAATAATTTGCGAAATACTGCTCCATTTTTAGTAGTTTCCAAAAGTTGGTTATATAATTCACTGTTGCCTTCCATAATAAGTTCTTCGTTGAAGAGGAATTCATGGAATACTAGTTAAATACTGCAGTAAAACCTTCTAGCGATCTTATTTAATCCTTTAGCTCTTTGAACCTTAATAACCCTTATTCTAATAGGTAGCCAAGAACCGATATAGCCAGTAACCAATATAGTCAAAAGCCTTATCATGTGAAACCTAAGAGAAAAAACTTCAAGGTTTAATAAAATATTCTTTAATATTTAGGGATTAAAAAATTATAATTAGAGATCGGACCGAAACGGATTACAGGTCTACGATTTTTATATTAAATTTTATAATAATTAAATTTACAGATGCCACATTATTTTTATTTCGATCCACTTCATATAGACCTAATTCCACACCATTCATTTCTAAATTTTCCTTCGTGTTTTTATATTTTTTGACAATACAGTCATCATTTATTGTTAAACACTTATTTATTTCATATTTCGCTTCTTCTATAGCATTTTCAAGTTCAATTTCTTCCATGTCTTCATTTTTGTTTTGCGTTTCTATTTGTTTAATTTCACATAATTTATTTAGTTCTTCTTTTGATATTGTAAAAACCTCGTTTAGATGGCGTACTAAATTAAGGATTTCTTCTCTTTAAAAGAATATTAGTCTCAATACTTACTACACCTGTTGACTTTTTATATCCCGGAGTTATACAGTAACTCAAAAATTTTATTAAGGGAGTTAATATAGTTAAGCTAATAAGCAAAGGCGTTGGTAATAAGAAGAGCTATATTTAGATTCTAAGTGTTATATTTTAGATTCTAAGTAAATATGAACGGTCGAGTAACTTAATGATGTAAATTTCTCTCAGAATGAAAGTCAATTAAAAAATACATTTGATTTAACTAACTACCTTTAACCAAATTAATTTCCTCCAGTCTTTCATCATTTCCCTCTGCCTGCAATTCTTCCTCGTAAATCTCCATATTTGATTCATTGATCTCTCGACTGATTAAATTATTTTTTACAAATTAGATATAAAGTCAGGTTCTTTTATTCTATCATACTAAAAGCCCGTAAAATATATTTAACAAAAATTGAATAAAATACTTTTTTTTATTCATAAATAGCTCTCAATTTTCTCCTTTATTTAACAAAAATTTCCAAATTTTCCCAAAATTTAAAAAATCCAAAATTCTTACATGTAAACAATTTCCTCAATTCTCTTCGTAAAATTTTTTACTTCAGAAAAAGTTTGACTATCTATTTCATCTGTCCCATTATAATAATCATAATAATCAGTCATTGTCCCATTTTCATTGTCTATATCCGTGTATAAATTTTGACTTTCATTAATATTTTTGTCCTCAATTCTTTCAAAACTTCCTGTGATGTTTTCATTTTCCTTTAAAAATTAAAGTATTTAATGAGTTATCTCGACAAAATCACAAAAAATACCTCTCTAATCTTGTTGCTTTTAGTTTGGGTTCTATTTTCATGCACTTTTGTTGTTGGCTTTATAGTTGTTGTGTTTGAAGCCTTAATTATTGTTTGTTAATATTCAATGCTATTTAAATTTTTTTCAAAATA